TAATTATTATATGGTTATTATGTATTTTTTATTATATATATGTGTGTGTGTGTGTGTGTGTGTGTGTGTGTGTGTGTGTGTGTGTATATATACACTTACAGTATTATAAATTACAGCATTATTATTAATGTTATCTTGTATCTTTGTTATCTTGTATCTCAAATCTCAATTTGCATACATATATTTGACAAAACACTTACTTATAACACTTACTTAATATTTAGTTATTTTTTTACTCTGATTCTAAATTTATAAATTCTTCCGAATGATATTCTTCCCGATTAAAAATTGGGTCGTTGAAAGTATTACGAGTATGACACGCGGAAGGGTGCGTTCACAAGCAAAAAAGTGCACGTCGAGGGTAAGAAAGTGCTACGTAATGCGAAATCTACCGCAATTAGCTCGTCACGTCGTGTTATCGTTGCACGACCTGCAAAGAGTAATGTGAGGTTTCGCTGACATTAATCCTTTTCAGTTTTATGACAGCCAATCGGTGTTCCATCTATCCTAAGTATATCGATGTATCCACTACAAATGTAAAAAAAAAGAATCATTTTTATTTCTTGTTAACATTGTAATGAAATTGCTAATTCTTCTACAATCAAGACAAACGGCGAAATAGCAATTTTCCAATCATACGTTAATGTCAAACAAATAACTTTCGTAATTGTATTTATCTATGATGGATATATTTATCTATGATGAATGTATTTATCTATGATGAGATATAAGTGAAAGTAAAATAATATATACGGATAATAATAAACCGCAGTAAAAATTATTTATTTAAGATTCATCAAATACATCGGAAATTTATTTCTTGACATAATTTGATTACGTTTTCCCGGAACGGAAGGTTTAAAGAAAAATTAAAGGTGATGTCTTACCAGCTTTCGCTTCCCACGATTTTGCTTCCGTAGGACATTGTAGGACGGGATTTCGATTGAAATTGCCATGCCGAAATGAAGGGTTAATGAAATCGGACGAGACGTCGCGGTCGGCTCGGACAAAAATTGCGCCCTGGCCGAAATTACAGTGATTATGTACACTCTGCGGCTCTGGTTTTGCCCCTCGGGGGAGGACTCCGCGCGCACCCTCTCGCTCTCCCTCGGTAGAGAATTTTCCCCTTCCCTCTTCTCCTCACGATCTGCTGGAGTGATACAGAACTCATTGAGAGTTCGGGCCGATTATAAGCGGGAAATGCGGGCGGTGATGGCGGATGGTTCGGTTCGCTCTCGGCGATTACCGCAACGCCGTGCTCGTAAAACAGATGCGCGTGCTCGGCGTCCATTATGACGTAATCCGCCGCTTCTTATAATTTATCGTCGGCCAGAGAGCGAGCGAGCAAGCGAGCGAGCGAGCGAGCGAGCGGGCCGGGAATAAATATCGAAATTTCAGTTAAGCTGCCGCATTAATTTGCGGAGCGACGATTAAGCTCGTCGAACTTGCCGATTTCGCCTCGCAAGTTTCGACGAGGGCCGAGGATTAAACGCGCGCATGCCACCTCTCGTTCGTTTCGTCTGGTTCGTTCTTTCGCTTTATGGCACTTTCGTCGCGTTTCCAAATTTATGACGAGAGAACGATTCAACTGGTGGCTTTCGTGAAACGGTAGATTCCACCTGTAATACAACCGATCCGCGAACGAACGCTCGCGTTTACATGATTTCGGTGTGTACGTAGTGTAGAGAACTTTAACGCTTTAAGAGTTTCACGAGCGACCTTATCAACGATCATACGAATCGGCGTCGATCGGATTAAGCGTGACTCACTTCGCGAGCGAGAGATCTATCGCTCGTTCGCTCGTGGAAAGTATGAGAAATGCATTAGCTATCGCAAACGGCGAAACGTGTTGGCTTGACAATCTTAATTTATGCTGTATTTTCGACACATTTGTCTTCAATTTTATCCATTTATCACACTCCGCTTTTTGCATAAATTAAACATTATAAAAACTTGTAACATTTCACAAGTTTTTTGCCGACAAGAAAATGTGACCTTAATTTATTATAAAATCTGTGACAAAATTTATTCCGATAATAAGTTTGAATCAATTTTAATTCTAGAAATTGCTCTTTTTATCGATAACAAAATCGTCTAGTTCCCATATGGAGCTCTTCACTCTATTCGACTCAAATGTATATCTGAACGTACTGTAATAAGACGATTCACAGCCTCCAGAAACGCGCTGTTCAAACGCTCTATATAATCGGCGTGATCGGCGCTCGTTCCAAAAACGGGGCGACTGGCTAGGCACGACGACCGAGCCTATCGTCGCGTTTACGGCATTCGGGCCGAAAGTGCCTCGCAACATAGTCGAGACTCATCTGCATACCGTTTCGTTCCGCGTAACGACTCGCGTTTCGTCTTTCCGCGGGTACGCACCTGTATCGAGATAACGCTCCGTAACGTACGACCGCAACGAATAAGGGCATGGAAACGAAGCCGATTCCCTTCACGGTTCTGCTTTTCCTCTCCGTGGCTCACTCCAGATCTTACGACGAAGTCGCGCCGGCGAATCCGAAGGTGCGAATCAGTCTATAAATTTCGCGAGCGGGAAACTGCGCGTACACCTGCGGGGAAACAGTTTCGCGGAACGATCCGCATGTCGCGATAGCGACGGGGACATTCCTCACGCGACAAACGTCAACTCTTTTCCGGGAATAAGATTCACTTCCATCACAGCTTTTAAAATTTCGGTTATTTCAAGAAAAATTATTGTTCTTCATTAGAGACGTTGGGGAGACGACGTTATTTCTTTTTGTCGTCATTTTTAATGCAATTTTTTACATGCGTTATTTATGCGTCATTATATTATACTCTATTTATATTTATAAATCGATATCGGAATGTTTACACTATATGTGGCATCAATTTGATTATTTCAGAATGGCGTCAATTTGATTATTTCAGAATAATATTCTAAGGACAAGTACTTCCTCGATATCGTTAAGTTAAAATACATCTGCATGCGATAATCATATGCAATTCCATTCGCTAAGAAAAACTGGCATAATAAGTAGTCTTGATGAAATATTATCAAGTAATTTTCACACGCGAATCACTTCTCTCATTATTCCAGTAGCAAAAACATCATTCCATTGCCGCTGCGCATGACATTGTCAACGGCAAACGTGCACGTGCACGTATAATTATGCAATATTTATATATATATATATATATGAATGTAGTAGTAATAAAAAAATCAATTCAAGAAAATGAGAAGATAAGATAATATCGATAATAATTAAAAAGATAAGATAATATCATAATTTGAAAATAATTCAACTTTAAAGATAATATAATTATAAACTCGATTTATATGAATTTACAAGGGCGTCAATTATAAAATGATAGGATATGTGAAGTCTAAAATATTTTGCGACAAAACACAAGATATTTAGAGGTATTACGAATGCAAAAACTTTCATAAGAAACTGCATCCAAAAAGGGCATCCGGCACTCGCACGAGCGAACTCATCCGTAGCGTCGCGTGGCACGAATGCAGATCGCGCAGTTTAAGCGACCGTGTTTTTTGCGTTTGTCGCTCATCGATCGTTAAGTATAACCTGCCGACACGGTCTATACATCACGTTTAAACGCGAAACCACGTCAATTTGCGAGTAACGAGTCGCGCGATCACGCGTTGCGGATGGATATAAATGAAAATAAAAAGGAGGAGAGAGAGAGAGAGAGAGAGAGAGAGAG